AAGGTGAGTCCTACAGTTGTTTTTGTCTTAAAATCACTTGACAATGTTATTGATAATGAACCAGAAAAAAGTCTTTGTTGGAGGAGAATGTTCAAGAGGGTATTTGACAAAAGACACTAATCTCCAGCCTTGATCTTGGAAGACAGCCTGCAAATACAGCAAAATGTGGGCTTTTCAAGAGTTGTTCAATGTCAGTATAACTTTGCTTCCATTCAGACTAACAATGATAACTTCAGACGGAGCAGAGTCAGGTCAATAGTGAATATGTATATTTAAATCTTGCCATCAAAAGGAGTTAAAATGCCTGCAGGAGTACTTGTGGGTTTAGTAAACCAGGACTTAAATTAAACAGCAGTTAACACCACTCTGTGCCTGCTTTCAGAAGGAGAATAAGAACCTGCCCTTTACAAATTTTCCTTGGCCTAGCTGGTGACTATAACTCACCAAAGCAGGTGTTTATGCTTGTGGAGTTAAATAAATGGCCTCTACTTTGGTCTCTGCCACTGCTTATATAGTGATACTGGAGAAGAATATGGTGCTTAGTTTTTAAGCGTGTTTGTGCTTGATTTATTTTCTTTGGAAATACAATGTCTGTGTAAACTTAATGGTAGAAGAGAAAGGTAATCTTGCAAGAAGGGCAAGTCGACAACATGTGGGCCTATGGTACTGCCTGTATTGTAGGACTGGCAGCAATGATATGGTACTAAAGTGATTTGTCAGTGAAGCCAGAAAGTTTGGGAATTAATTAATATCTCTGATACAGAGATAAAGGTGATAGAAACTTGTGATAATCAAATACTGATCTAATATTTTCAGGAATTATGGAATATCATTCTAGCTGGAAGAGAGGCTTGGGGAATGGAAAGAAGAAGAAGAGAAAATTTACAGCTTGTGAAAAACAGTAGGTTAATGGCACTGAAAACTGAAACTCATTGTATACTGACTATCTGTAACCCAGACTCCGGTGATCTGAATTCTACCCATACAAACATGTTCTGAAGATCAAGATTCAATTAAACTAAGTACACCTTGCTAGTGCTTCTCAATCAGAATAATTTTTAAAAAGTTCTTCTAAGAAACAAGTTGTTTTATAAAGAATGCAGTCTTTACACTAAACATTTTGAATTTTCATTAATTTTCATGTCTAGAAACTTGTGGTCTTCAATCAACATTTCTCTGGAGAATAATACAGTTCTTCCATAGGAAATATTATTTTCTCAATCAATTTTAATAAGTAGGTTGCCCAGAGGCTGTGAAATCTCTGCCTGTGGAGTAATTTAGGACTCAATGGGACAAGCTCCTGAGCACCCTGATCTAAGTTGACTATGCTTTAGCTAGAGAGTTAGCCCAGACAACCCTTAGAGATCCCTTCCAACCCAAATTACTCTGCAATTCTCTGATTCTGATAAGTCTGTTGTCACACTGGGCTTGCATTGTTCTGAAGACTAGCAAGAATGTTATTACTGACCAGAGAAAAATCTGTTTTGCTATGAATATTATTCCTCAAGAAATCAGTTTGAAGCAACTATTTTATTTGAACATTGGTTACCTGGCAGTTGTCATGTGGTGATAACTATAGGTACTGGTGCCACAGGCCAATTCCAAACACTTATTCCATTTTTGTGTTTGCTTTACCTCATTGTCTGTCCCCTTAATTCTTCTATTTTTTTTTTCATCATCTAGATATCACTTTATAGCAGATTGCTCATGTCAATAGTCATCTTATTTAAATTTCCAAGGGGAGCAATGTTACATTGATTTTTGTTTGCATGTTCCCATAATGTGAAATTGAGTTTACTTCTCCAAACCATTTAATGAGCCAAGCCTCAATAGTAAATTACAAAAAAGAATGCTGCTCTCCTCTCAATTAAATATTTACAAGCTGAAGGATACTGTGTCTAAATACTAATCTAACAAAGAGAGTTTAGCAGATTCCATTCACTAAAGTATGCTTGTCACTAAGGTGGTGCTCTTGGTATCTTTTTCAGGTATTTCGATTAGCTATTTTCTCCTTAGATTAAGAGAACTTGACATTTCGTTCTATTACTTGTCCACCTGGATTTGTTCTTCTCTTTCCAGTCCTGTTTTTCTCAGACTTTCTTAGTGCTTTCCTTTACAAGCATTTAACATGAGCAAACCCAAGAGAAATAGATTTCCATATTAATAATTTAACATTATTATCTCTTTCTTCTGAAAATAACTGAACCTCGCAAATGTGTTTTGGTTAGATCTTCTGTTGACAAAGCTGATAAAATAACACTACAAGATATTGAGTAAAAAAAAAAAAATCTCTAAATTTTATATTTGTGAAAACTATATGGAAGTTTTTTGTGTTTCTGTGTGAAAGCATGTAACACATAAGAAATCAAATGTAGATGAAGACAGTTGTCACTTGTGACCATCTCCACAAGTCATGTTACTGTGGCTGCCATGGCTTAAACTACAATGTGCTGGAAAAACATAGAATGTTGTGAGTTAGAAAGGACCCTCAAGGATCATTGAGTCCAACTCTTGCCCTAACACAGGTCAATCACAAGATTCAGACCATGTGTCTGAGGGCACATGTTGTCCAAATGGTTCTTGAATATTGTCAGGCTCGGTGCCATGACTACCTCCCTGGGGAGCCTGTTCCAGTGCTCCACCACCTTGTGGGTGAAGAACCTTTTCCTAATGTCCAACCTAAACTTGCCCTGGCATATCTTCATGCCATTTCCTCTGCTCCTATCATTGGTGGCCAGAGAGAAGAGATCAGCACCTGCTCCTCCTCTTCCCCTTGTGAGGAAGTTATAGACTGCGATGACATCTCCTCTCAGTCTCTTCTTCTCCAGACTGAATTTTTTAACCGTCATCACTAAATTTACAGGCTGTTTTTAATACATTTCCTCCGTTTCTCAAATTTTATTGGTGTGCCAGGACCATAATTTTCTTCTGATGGCCTTATTTGACAGATCTTTTGAGTTTTGGTGGGGTTTGGGGTTTTATTTGTTGTTTGGTTTAGTTTTGTTTTTTTTTTAATCTGAGCTGTTTATATCAAAATTTACAGTCCACTGCTGACTTAACCTCATCTTTAAGAGAGTAGTTGGCAGGAAATTTTTAGAGTAGCAGTACTTAGTCTTGGTTTTGTGGTATCTACTTGCTAAAGTCTCATGGGAAAATAAAAGATAATTTGTGAAATGTACATATGAAGAAAAACATCATTAGAGGCCTGATTTAGGATCCATAGAAGTCAATGGAAAGTGTACAACTGAATTCATTGTCTCTGAAGCAAGCCTCTTGGAGGCATTTTGTTGCTGTTGTACCATTTAATGTTGAAATATTTTTCAGAAAGTCATCAGCAAAATAGCAGCAAGATGTTTTTCTGTAGTTTTGAATACTAGAATATCACTTGTTCCGTTATGCACTAAATCCATTTTTTCATGCTACCCAATAGTACTTTGGCTACTAATATTTCCCTGTGTTCATTTTTGAGGATTCCAATATTCTATTTGTTTTAAAAAAAGTTAACTCTGTAGTGACTGGGTTGAGGGTTGTTTTGTTTTGCTTTCTCCTGTGCTGAAGACAATCATATATATGTATCTTAATTGTTGGAGCTTTCATTCCTATAATTTCACAAACTAGTAATAATGTTCTAGCTACTCTAAGGACATGAACATGCTACAGCGGTTTCAATAATTTCAGCATCTATCAGGACAGTGGGAGAAAGAATCAACTAGGCATCAAAAGTACAAATGTCAGCCTCCTGCCCATATTGTCACTGTAGCTTCCACATAAGCAATACTAGATTTAAGAACTCCTAGTAAGTTGTATTAACCAAAAATTAATGTAATAAACATTGAATATAGTACAATGTCTAAAAAACTAGCAAGTCATCCCTAAGGCAAACAATTTTCCTGCCTGATTTTCTCAGTCTGGCTTTCCTCTTCTTGTACCCTGTACACATTTACCCATTTTCTGGATACTCCTTGAACTCAGCCTGTAGTAGTTCTCCCTGTTAATGTGATCCATTCAGTTGTCTAAGACTGTATTGTATGCAATTTCATGAGAATTTCATTTCTTTCCTTTAGAATGTGAACAATCCATCTTCCAGTATTAGCATGTGTCTGTGTTCTCACATCAGCTTCAGCCCACCCTGCTGTAGCTTTCTTGTAAAGTACTATTTCTCCTCCTGAGTGCAGAGCTAAAATTCTCCCTTTCTCCTCTTTCCTGCATATTCTCTGTTCTTTGCCAGACAGCCTTCTGTTAGGTAACAGCCATCTTGGTGCAAATACCCTGTGTAAAGCTCTCTCCACACTACATACAACCCATAGAAAAGAAGATGGGAGAGATCTTGCTGGCACAGTCATGGCCCTTGACCTTCCTGGGCAACAAATATGTACAATACTATGCTGTGGGCAGCATCAGATTTCCTTTTTCCCACCGGCTTCAGTTATAGCATTCAGAATTCACATGACCAAGAGTGGAGCAGGAGGAAGGGAAGCTGTAAACCATTGCTCTGTAGCTGGGACTTAATTGCTTGTCCATATGGAGCAACAACAATGAGACCACACTGTCATACAAACTTTTCTTGATTACCAGATGTGTCTTCACACATCTGCACTTCCGTGTGAGTGCCAAAAACCAGGTCAATTGGCAAAATCAGATCCTGACTTGCCATTTTGCTTTTAGCTGAAGTTCAGGACCAAGCTTCCAGACCCAGATTTACCCACCATCTTATTCCCACCCCACACTTCAGTAACCCACAAGTGGACATCAGCCTCCCTTCCATGTCCTCCAAGGAAACACATGTGCAGGTCAGAAGGGAGTCACAGCATGGCTTTCAGGAAAAGAGAAGGAAAATAATTTGACAAAGTACTGACAAAAATACATGTGCTTGAGGAAGAATCAGGGAGAGGAAGGGGTGGTGCAAAACCCAAAAAATAGATATTGACCGCTGACCACAGATTCTTCCTTTTTTACTTGAAAAAGTGAGTCCTGGTAGCTGTTTTGTTTTTCTTTTGCAGTCATCTCTAACAAACAGTGATATCATCTTTGTGAAGTTGCATGCCCCTTGGGAGGTCCTGGGCAAATATGCTGAACTAATGAATGTAAGAATGCCTTTCAGGTAGGTGTAGTTGTATTTTGTTTCAACCTCCAAAAGTCACACTATACTGTAAAGCTAATGTAATAATAATATCAAAATGCACTGGGAAAAGCTCTAAGATAGCACACATCTTTAGAACATATAAATGGAGTACCTTAGGTACCATATTCATTGCTGTTTCTTGTTAATGCCTGCAATTTCAGTACAATACTGGTTTGAAATTAAGGTGAGCTGTAGCAGTGCAGCTGTTTTCATGGGGTATTCTATCCTTAGGCCCTTTAACCCCTTCAATGCTGGAGCCCCCTGCATACTTGTGCGCTGCTGTTTTTTAAATGGACATTTCATTGAAATCAATGGGAGGTCGAGAAGATCCAGGTACGTAAGGCAGCACAGAAGGTGCATGTCTGTTGGACGTATCTGGTATGTTCAGCATTTGTAAATTGCTTATATAGTGTGAAATTATGGAAATACGTACTATAAATAGGTATCCCCTCTCAAAGGAGAACAATTCAGATTATAAATGCTTTTTTCTGTGGAGAGATACTAAATGCTACTGGTAACCAAATTCATTGCACATTGTCATTCAGATTATTTTTATCATTTATTTAATATTGTTTGCATGTTGGGCTTTGAAATTTTCTGTGTAAAATATTGATTTTACTCTGCTGGTTATCAGAACTCCTAAAATAGCATAAAGACTTCCATGGAACTCACCAAAATCAAAAAACTGAGATCTTGATTCTTCTTTCAATTAGCAGGGTTTATAGATGCATAACTCCATTGATTTTAATGGAATTACTCCTGAGCAAGAAAAGAATCAGACCCAGAACATGCAACTAGTGAACTTATGTCCTTTGTAGGATTTCTGTTCCTGTTTTCTTCTACAAGGATGAAAAATGCCTCTGATATGAGACAAGCAGTAGCAGTACGGAACTTGCTGGGAAAAAAGGATATGAATTAAGGACAAAATTGCAGGCTTAATCTGTATATAATTTGGTTTTAATTTTCACAGCAAATTTTCAACTGTTCTTTCTTGTGCTTTTAGTGATAAAGAGGAAAATACAAAAGCTATCACAAGTCATTGCAAGGTATTAATATTCTTTTTAAAAAGTGTGGCTAGAAAGCCATAGAAACAATGTGCTGGACTAAAAGTGTACCTACTTTGACTTCTGTGGCATTCCTTGAGATGAACCTGCCCCAGTAGAACAATGAGGTCTCATGATTCAGAAATACACCAGGAGCTCAGATTTTAGTCACTGTGAGCAGCTTGTTCTTTCCTGATCTGAAGTCCCTTTTTTGAAATCTATCTCTCAGTAGATACCAAAGCAGATGCCATACAGATTATATAGAAAGCACCAAAAATACTAAAGGTTTCTTGACCTGCTTCAGGACCATGGTTTCATTCTTTCCACAACCACACAGAGAGAATTATTACAGTATTTTTAAGAGGAAATCATGGTGATTTACTAATGCTTGCTAGGCAGGCTCTTAAATTTTATTTTAAGAACAGTACTGTTTACCATTTAAAAACAAGGACCAACATTTTACAAAATGTCCACTAGTCTAGGCTGCCTGTTTCCAGGTGCCCTTGTCTGAGCCCTTGTTTAAGGGCTTCAGATTGCTTACAGCTCCAGATATTTTAGATTGGAATTGTCCAAGGTCCACACATCAGTGAATAAAATCCTTACCAGGGTTATTAAAAGAGTAGATAACTGAATATTTGAAGCAAAATCAAGAAGTAGATGGCATCTTCAGAGACACTTAGCTTTGACCCTTCTCTGCTCCTGCTGAGTAGAGCAAGATAAATAGCGCTGCCTTGTGGAGGATTTGGCCAAAGGAGGCTGGCCAACATGAAACCGTTCTGAAAATTTCACTTCACTGGCACAATATGGACACTGATAACAAAAATAATGTCATAATATTATATATTATTTAAATTATAAGTTCTAAAAATTAACCTGGAATTCTAACCAGGTTTTCTTTTTTCTATAGTTTACAAAGCATCAGTATTGTCTTATTTTAGAAAGCTCCCAACCATGCTGGCTTCCAGGACACTAACATTCCTACAGTACATTTTAAAATACTGAGAATGAAAAGTGTGGTGTGAGCCCTTCATTTTCCAGAAGTGGTACAGTTCAATGTTACACCACAGAACCTCTCAGAATATACAGAAACTACCTTGAGTTAACAATGACCTCAAGTGGATGACAAAGCCTCTGGAGGAGGAAACTAGAGATCAGGCAGGCACCCAGATCTTCCAGTAGGGAGTATCAGCCCCAAACCTACACCTCAAAGCCATCAGATTTTCTTAACTGTCATGAAGATATGATCTTTCTGTTGAAGACAATGGGTCAGGACCTGATAGCTGTGCTGCTATAGGCACATATGAGGACAACAAGAGCTACCAGCAGCAGAGTGGGACAGGAGGTCCCATCTACACAGGATGGTTAGGGGACCACTCTGCCTGCCTGTGCCAAGCTGATCAGGAAGCAGGCCAAGAGTATGGTCAGTACATGTCTGCTCACTGGTTCCCCACATGCACTCCCACAACAGCTTATTGCACAGTCAACAGAAATCAGCTGAGCCTGCACGAGGGGCAGAGGGAGTGGCTGCATACTTGGGGAGGGGAAGCATTGCCAAGCACATGCTCATTTGCTTGTGTAGTCTATATTCTGTTTCAAGGGATGTTACCCCAACAGCCAGTACTGGTCCCAGTTGGTACTGCATGTGTTATGTTATATTGCTGCATCAGATACCAATTTTCTGGTTTTTCTAAGTGATACCCCTTGTGTTTCACCAAGTGCAGTTTTAATAATTCACTAGTGGATTTGAGATAATTTATCCATATTTGTATCAGGCCTACAAAATTCCTGCAACAGTTTATGGACTTCTTTGAAATAGAAGTATCTTTGGGTCTCTGTCTTTCACACATGACAAGTAGCAGAAAAAGAGAAGACAATGGGAAAACTATGACCTTCTTGCAGTTCAAATGCCACCAGAGTCTGTGTGGCTTCCTGTGACAGTTCTGTTAATCTCTCTTTTAGTCTCTTCCTTCACCTCTTACAGGCTTCTGTCTTCAATCTCCTTTCCTTCCTTGCTAGTTCATACTGTAACTGACGATGGGTTTTCTTCTCGACTGGCTTCATTTTTGCTGTTCTTCCAGGAGAAAAATCTATTACCTGCACCGCCGATACAAGTTCATGAATAGGTGAGTACAATTCTTACGCCAGTCCATGTTCATCTGGACCAGTAACAAAAGGAGTGGTTAAGGTCAAGCTGGAAGGAAAAGTTTATTAGCTGTGTTTGTAGAAAGGGTGCACAGAGTGATTACGCATTAGGACGTCTGCAAAAACAAATATAGAAGTTACATTTTTAAGGCATCTGCCATGTGAAAGCGGCAATTCATTTTATCAGTGTTGCCTTTTTCAGGAATAATGAAATATTTTTCTATCGATGCGGTCTTTTAAAGACAAATAAGTATGTTAGTGCAAACATTGTATCTCTTTATTTTCCTTTAGCTCATTAGTGAGTTTCTTGGGATTAAAATACCCCAGTTATGGTTTGGTTGTTTGGTTTGGGGTTTTTTTTTCATTTCCATATACCTTACTTACTTGCAGTAATGATGACAGTATTTATTTATCACTTCCTCTGTGGAGATGCTTAGTACTTTTTTGGTAGATAGGAAGGCAATGAACCAAGTTCATCTCTAGTGTAATATTATTGAGCTTGAGAGGAGTATTTTTCAAGAATCTTTTAAGTGCTTTCGCTCAGTTTAAGGTTATGTTTCATACCTGTTTTATACCTGATTTAATGCAATGAAAAATTTCTAGTGCTGCAGTTTGCATTCTCTTTTTGGTACCTTGGACAATTAAAAGAAAATGTCTCCAGAAAACCTGAAAAATATACAAGCTTGGCAAAGGCCATATCATATGTTGGTATTTAATGCCACAGTGCTGTTGTTGGAGTTTTCAAGAGGGTCTAGTATTTGACTTACTGTCTCACTCTGAGGTCAGTGGAAAAACTCCTATGAACATCTGAGAGAGAAGAATTAGCTTTAAAAAATCTGCATTTTGGAGTAAACAGCTGTATCACTGCAGCTAATGTCAGTAGATGACCATCCATGAGAAAATAAATCACATATTATCACACTGCTTTATGAGCATAATAAAAAGCATTTTGTCTATTAAATTCCATCACACTGTGCGGGTGACTTGAGAGTACCAGCATTGATCTCATATTATAGTATTTACTTATTTATATTAGTAAGGACCAAATGGGCTCTTTGTGGAGTTCAGATATTTTACCTAGTTAACACAGGCTAATAAATGAACACAATTCTTCTAAAGCTTGTTGGTGCTCCCCACTTTCCATCCCCACCTTACAATAAATACTGTAGTGCCTGTTAACTTTTGAATTTGTCTTTCTTGTTTTTAATTGATATGGCTGCTTTGGCTGAAGCAATAGAGTAAAAGGAAGGAGAGAGGAAGATTCACATTTGTACGTGGTGTATGAAATTTTGCTTTACATTAACATTCTTATGAGTCAGGATGGGATTTGAAGTCAGTATGGGAAGAGGTATTATCTTTTTCTGGTATTTTAGTTAGTGAGTGTGGTGGTTTAACCACAGGTAGACCATGCAGTCCTGCATTCACTGCCCCCACCAGTTATGGTCACAGGGAAAACAGACTCAACTTTGGGAAGAAAAATCAATTTAATTTGTTGCCATTCATCTAAGTTGTGTGGTGAGACACAATAACCACATCTTACAACACCTTCCCCTCACCCCTCCCTTCTTCTTTGGCTCAGATTACTTTGCTCCCAATTTCTCTACCTTCTCCCCTCAGTGGCACAGGGGACAGGGAATGGGGGTTCAGTCAGTTCATCTCTGCAGCTCTTCCTGGCATGAAAGTCCAGGAACAAGATGTTCCAATGCAAGCTTCCTATGGAGTCACAGACCTCTTCAGGCACAGCTCCTGGCTCTGGCATGGGGACATCCACGGGTTGCAGATGGGCCTCCAGTCCAGTGCACCTCCTCACCCCCCCGCTCTGGGGGTCCATCCCTGCTCTCACTTGCCCTCAGGCTCAGCTTTTCTGCTCCAGTGTGGAGCCCTCCATGGCCTACATATGGGTATCCGTTCCGCCAGTGAACCTCCATGGGCTGCAGTGGACTTTGTCATCTCCTACTCCATACGGTAGAACTGGGTGTCTGAGGTTCTCTGTCTTCCCTTCCTCCTCCTTCCTCCTGGCAATGAAGCTCCCTCTTTGTTTTGGCCAATGGTTGTCTTTTGTTCAGGTCAATGGCCTCTGCTCCAGGTTCTCTCCACCTTCTTTTCAGGACAGTCCTTCCCCTCACAAATATGGATTCCCAGAGTCGTTTCTCTAGTGCTCATTGGCCCAGACTGGGCTGGGGGGCAGTCCGCTTTGGAGCCAAGGGAGCTCTCACTCTCACAAGGTGGCCCCTTCCCCCACTAGCAAAAACTTCCTCCCAAACCCAACACACTGAGTGATGACAACATTAGACTAAGTTCAATCTTTTTTGTTCAGGTCTACTTAAGGCAGAAAAGCTATAACTGAATAGTCCCAGTGGAAAAAAGAAAACATATTCAGCTTCATTTTAATTTATGTGAAACTTGGATATACAGCTTCAATAAAAGGATGTATTTCCTCTGCTCCTAGTTCAGTGGAGGTTACAAGCAACTGAAACCTTGGTCCATTTTTTTGAGCTAAGCCAAACATTATCTTGACATTCAGGAAAAATTTATTTTAAAGAGGACTTTTGTTACAAGGCGAAGCCCAGAGCAAGTCACTTGCAACTTGTCAATTTGCCTTCAGTTTTGTCTCTGTAATATTCTAGTGATCCCAAAATTTCAAATAACAAAATTCCTCTCATATATTCTAGAGAAAAGGAAGGGTATCAGCTATCTATGCAGTACCTAGAACTCTACCTGCATTGTGCTTAAAAACTAAGACAATAGCTAGCTCTACAATACATGTAAAACTCTATCAAAGCTGAGCCAGAGATAAAATAGAGTCTTGATTCAAATTTTTCTTCCCTAACTTCATCTTTCATTCAAAAAAATGATTCTATCCCTACCCTATTTCCTAGTGAGAAACCAGGTTTTTTGAAATTATTTGAAAAAGTCTTTGTGTGAGTTAAGCATGGTATGTATATTCAGAAAGAGGATACTGCATAAAGACTAAACCTAGAGAGCAGGGGCAGGACTGAAGTGGAAAAGCCTCTACCTTTGAGACACTGTGAATTTAGACAATGAATTTTTATCATGTGAGATTAACAAGTGTTTTTAATGAAGGAATTTAAGAAGGATGTTATCATCAGATCTTCCACTCTCATCTTTAATTGTGGGTGACTCCACAGTGCCTCACCACTTTATGCACACTTTTTGTTCTCGTGTAGGTTGCTCTGCTTTCCAAACACCATTTCCATATTCGGCTGAGTATATAAGCTTCTTCATAAGGGAAACAGAGGCATGGGCTGGCCTTGAAGAAGTGACAAAACACAGTAGACTTTTAACACTGTATGTCTATGTTTGTTTACACCAACACCACTCTTTCAGCTTTTTTTTTGTTGTTGTTGTTGTTGTTTTTTGAGAGAGAGATACTCCTGTAGACTATAAAGCCTGCACTGCTGGCTGATGGCATTGTTGGAGTGGCTTGAAGGCAATCTGAGTTTGGTCATTTTTGTTTTCCAAGGAGATAACTAGGATTTTTTTCCCTAGACATGGCTTTGCTGTACTGTATGTTGTAGGCCTTGCAGAAAGGCTTTGCAATCTTTCCAAACCTGTTTGCCAGAAGGGAAGGAGTGGGCTCACTGAGCATGCCAAGTAATCTGAGTCTTGGGAATGGCAAACCAGTCAAATTCTGGGTACACTCAGTTGGAAGTCAACATGAATAATGCATTGCTTTTAAATGGGGAAAGCACACTCTGTGTGCTACACACACGTGCCTGATGTGATAAACCTGCAACACACACATCTCAAATGTGCACATTGACTTGCAGGATGAGTGGGAAAGGATTGCAGATTAGCAATAGCTTAGAGAATTCAAATTATTTGAGTTAACAAATAAGTATGGAATGGGATATTTAGAAAACCTGCCTGATTCCTCTTGTGTTTTCCATACCCAGAGTCACTAAGCCTGCTGAGTATAGAGTAATGCAGAGTTTGTGGTCTTTACAGAGGGAAAACTGGAGGCCAAGAGAGAGGGAATCCCCCTGGACAGAATTTACTTTTCCCTTGCCATTCCTATCAGTGTCTGCACAGACTAGCTCAGGGCTGTCAGGCTGGATGCTGCAGCTGGAGAGTTATAGTCAGTCAGGCCCTTTGCAGCACTGGGATCTGACTTCTTGTGCATAGACTGTTGCAAACTACCTCCTCCTTCACTCTGAACTGCTGGGCTAGTACAAACACTTCCCATGAAGAGTTAATAATTAATTTAGTATGAGTCTTATGTTATGTTCACATACACATTCTAGTTCTTCCAAACAGTTCTGATGGTAAATTTGCCCCCTGCCCCATGCTGTCCCCAGAATGGGAATATACAAATGGAACCAAAACAAGTAGAGCTAATTTATTTACAGTTTTCAAATGTGCCCATGATAAAAATTATCATTAGCTTTCTTATCCAAAATAAAAATACCTGATGGGAGAAGGTTGAATATTCCAGGAAATATTATATGTACTTTAAATAAAGTATGTAATAATTTCACATCACTTTCCCACACACTCAGCTGCTTGGGAATGGAGTGCAGGTGACTGCACAGAGTTCACAGCGTTTGCTGGTCATAGTTATTTCACTGACTTCTCTCAAAAGAAAGGAAACAACTATATTTCCAGTCCTTAAGCTTCATCTAGAACTGGACTTAAAGTTCAAAGGATGTTCATTAATGCCCTTTAGCTCCAGCCCTGGAAAGAATCATCCACTGACTAAAGTATGTGCATAGTCCATGGTTTGTAGTCTATGATTTTTGCAGCAGAGGTCACTGATTAGGACTTGAATGTGTTAGGAACTTCTGAGAGAATAGGGCTCATTGTGTCAGACATATCTCATCTTTCTTACGTGTTTTTCATTATAAAATTTTAGTTTGGATTTGAATTTGTTTTAGATTGTCTTCTCTAATCGGCTCTGATTCTTCCCTTTCCCTTTATTTCAGTGTGCATCTTTGCATGAATGCGTTTGTAGTTAAATCTGCCCTTTCTCCATCTTGATCTTAGTTTGCTTCCACCTTTTAAATGTAAGATTCTGTGTAGCAGTCACCTATTAATCTATACACTGAGTATTCTGGTTTCATGGAGGTTGTAGTATTGCAAGACACTACAATTGAGCCAAATGAACAAAGTAGCCCATTTTTTTTATAGCATCAGTTGCGAGGTAAGAATCCGTATGGAGAGCAGTAAAGGGGTGCAACTGGCTGGGGTTTAGCTGCCACAGCTCTCTGTCACAGTCTCTGTTGTTCTAATGTTTATATGTCCAAAGTCTAATGTGTCAATTAAGCCTGAAATTTAAACTAACTGAAAAGCTGAGAAATAAAGGTTTAGAGAATTGCCGAGAGCTTACTGGGCTTAATAAGATTTGTAGCAGCGCGTATACTATCAGCATTGTTTTTCTGTTCAGACAGAATAAGATGCCCCTCTGCTGAAAACTGGTTATTAATAATCAAGTTCAGCATGTATAATTTGTTCTGCCGTGAAAAAGTCAGAAGACATTGCATCTTTTCTAGTTGTAAAAATTAAGCGGCCTAGTTTGCCAGCATGTGTTCTTTGTAAGTGCTCTGTAAGGTAATGAAAAACTATCTCAAATGCTCACGCTTTTCATGTGCTACAGGATCGAGAAACAAATAAGCAGGTTTCGAGGATGGTTGCCTAGAAAGCCAATGAAACTGGACAAGGACACACTACCAGATCTGGAGGAGAATGACTGCTATACTGCTCCATTCAGCCAACAAAGGATCCATCAGTGAGTATTTTATTATATCTTAATTGCAAGATGAAAACTTTTCTTTCTGGATTCACCCTGGAAACAGATCAATTTTTTAGTTCATATCTTAAAATCTATTGCCTTCAAATTAGTTCTTTGCCACAAAAAAAGGAGAGATAGAGAGTCCTGAGAGAGCATAAGGTCTGTCTACATTTCTAATAATTAAAGGTCCAGCTCAAAGCTAAAGAAAATAAATGGAAAAGTTCCTTTTAATTCACTGGAATTTCAATTACGTCCCTGAAGTTGTCAAATGGCTAATTCTCTCGTGTCAGAATTGTCATTGTTCTTTGTCACTTAAAGATGTGATTAAAACTTATTTTTCAGCATTTCTGTCTTTAGCGTAATCAAAATTAGTCCTTCTGACACTGGTGGTAGAAAAAAACCTGATACTGCATTTCATTCCTAGTTACCACTGTAAAACAAACAGAACTCTAAAGAAAGCAGAGAATGTAATTTTGTTTGTATCACTCTGCCCTTTACTTTTTTGGAAGCAAAGCTGCTTGCAAAATGCCAGTTTTAAGACCTAGCAGTGACACTTGTCCAAGTGTACCAATGACACCCATTTTGCATCAATGTCACCAGAGAAATCATTTGACTACTAGAAGCTTTTATTCATTTGCTCCATGTGAATTTCAGATTCCATGTTGAATTTCAGGGCTGTAAAATTTTAGAGAAAGAGAGTGTCTTATGGGTACTTACAGTGTTTGTGATATGAGAATCAATCATTGATTAACTGAGAACAAAATCACAGAGAATTTGGACAGTGCTGCCTGTCTAGGCAGCACTGTCCAGGGTACTAACAGAAGGCAGAATGAATTACAGGCAGCTCAAAGTCTAAAAATCTGAAATATGTGATTTTATTCATGGAGAAACCAGGTTGAGGTAATTCTTTTAAATGTCTCACTTTGAACAAACTATTTTTCAGGTACTGGATTTATTAGCTGTAATAAGAATGAATAAAATAGACTTCCTCTGCCATAATGTCCTCTGCCATTATGGGGAGCAGAAGAAAGCCCCCATAATCCAAGGGGAAATGGTTAGTGACCTGCTATGCCACTTAGACACACACAGGTCTGTGGGGCTGAATGGGATCCACTTAAGGGTACTGAGGGAGCTGGTGTAAGTGGTCACCAAACCACTTTCCATCATTTATCACCAGTCCTGGCTAACTGGAGAGGTCCCAGTGGACTGGAAGTTAGCAAATGTAATGCTCATCTACAAGTGGCTGGAAAGCTGCCTGTCAGAAAAAGACCTGGGGGTGTTAGTCGACACTCAGCTGAATATGACCTGGCAGTGTGCCCAGGTAGCCAAGAAGGCCAATAGCATCCTGGCCTGTATAAGAAACAGTGTGGCCAGCAGGACTAGAGAAGGGATCATCCCCCTGTACTTGGTACTGGTGAGGCTGCACCTTGACTACTGTGTCCATTTTTGGGCACGTCAGTACAAGAAATCAAGGAGGTGCTGGAGCATGTCCAAAGAAGGGCAATGAAGCTGGTGAAGGGGCTAGAGAACAAATCTTATGATGCACGGCTGAGGGAACTGAGGTTGTTTAGTCTGAAGAAAAGGAGGCTGAGAGGAGACCTTACTGCTCTCGATAACTACCTGAAAGGAGGGTGTAGAGAGGTGGATGTTGGTCTCTTCTCCCAAGTAACAAATGATAGAGCGAGAGGAAACTGCCTTCAGTTGCACCAGGAGAGGTTTAGTTTGGATATTAGGAAAAATTTATACACTGAAAGGGTTATCAAGCCTGGTTGAATCACTGCCCCTGGAGTTATTTAGAAGACATGTAGATGTGTTGCTTAGGGACGTGCTTTAGAGGTGGACTTGGCAGTGTTAAATTTAGGGTTGGACTTGATGATTTTAAAGGTCTTTTCCAACCTAAATGATTCTATGATTCTATACGTACTGTCTTTCCAAATACAGCAGAAAAACAAAAACAGGTGCAAATCTCCAGGGAAATTTCAATAGAAGTCTGCTCCTAGCACCAGTCACCAGCCAGAATTATCTCCGATAAATGTCTGTGCTCTGAAGAGACATCAGGTTCAGACTGCAGTCTTCCAGTACTTGAGCAATGAGATGGGTCAGTTTTTGTGCCCTGCAAGAGGAAGAGTAAGGGCAAATTAGCTCAAGAGTGGACCACTCATAATAAAAAAAATATTAAATTGAGATGTCTGGTTAATATTTTTATTAATAGTAATATTAAATATTAGCTTCTCTTAAAATTACAGCACATCATAAGAAAATTTTGTGTGCTTGTGTCTGGAAAGAGAATTAACATGTATGAACTAGAATATCTTTTTAATTCTTCTGCCTTGCTCATGTTTGTGTTCATAAACTGGCAGAGGGGATTTATTAAATAATGTGTTAGTTTCATTAACGCTCCTGCTGTTGTTTGGCACTTCTTTTACATCATTGCAGACTTTGAAGCTCTACTCCCCAGCAGGCCTGACGTTTTCTGTTTTGCTTTCTGTTTAGTCTTCCGTTCCTTTTGTGGGGGGACTGATAAAATGCTGGCTGAGCTGCCCTCCTTCTCCCAAAAGGTGCTGGCTCTGACAGGTTTCTTGTGTTCACATCATGCTCCAGCCTGTTGGCTGTGTCTGTCTTGTTTTGCTTCATTAAAATTTTGAAGTATAATGACGTGTTCAATATTTGTCTAGTGACTTGCTTGCAGATATTTTAATTGTTCCAAGAATTTCAGGGTATGTTGATAAGCAGAGCATTTCAGGAACATATTTAGTGTGTGCTTTTAATCTTTGATTGTGGAGTGCAAGTATCAAATAATTGGAAATGTGGAGTTAAAAAGAATTATTTTATTATTATCAGTTAACAGTCAAGAAGTGTATTATGTTGGAGTTCACTTACTTTGAACAAGTTGCTGCTTACTTTGTGCAAATTGCTGCTTCTTCCAAGATATACATAATCATTCTGTTGAAAGATCTGCATATAACAAGTCAGTAGTAAAGAAACCCAGCTATCTCCAAACATAGGGAAAGTAGGAGTAGAAATGTATTTTTCTATTTATGTGTAGCCCAACACATATTAACTGAACTGTGACTGGTGTCTTCATTTGAGTCAGTTGTGCCAGATGAGGGTTTGATCACTATGAAAATTATTTCTCTTTCACCTCTACCCACTGCCAAGTGTTGTAACCTTCACAAGGGCAGCACTCATAATTGTCGCCTATTCAGAACAGTAACAGAAACACTCTGAAATTGATAAAAGTCTGCTTCCATTTTAGATTAAAGCTTCAATTTTCAGTTGTCACAGACACATTACATAAGCTTTTACTTGCTTTTTAACAAGTAAAAAAGTTACTAATTAAATATATGTATTTTTTAAACCTGTCGGGCTTTTATTTACATTTCTAACCCAGAGGCCCATAATACTGTTTTAGGAATGTGAAGATAAATAGTTACTGAAATTCTTGAGCTGCAGAAATGAAGAATTGCCATCTATGATAATGTTATGATAATTTAGCTTGCAGTTTTTCAGTGGTAAGAAAAGTCCCTGCATTTTCATATTTGGTGTAGTTAAGGTTTTGCTAAAGTGCCCTTACCATACCATATTGCCATTACAATGCAATTAAAATGAATGCATGTAATGAGCAGTTACTTGTAGAGTTCAAATTGTCTTCAAGAAGAATATAATCCTGTAGACTAGAATAGCAGTGACAGTCTCTTCCCTATTCTTAGGCTTTTAGATGTGACTCTGCATCCCTTCCCATCACATGTTTGTGTCAAAACTGATTCAGACAGAACATGCACAGGACAGGGAGGGTCCCAGTACCACATCAATGTTCAACTGGCTGACCTCAGTGTGGTTTAAGACTTTTCATTCAACATTGGGCCACTTTTTGAGGAAGGAAAATGTTTATAAAACTGTAAGTTCTTAAACTGCTCAGAGAATGTGGAATAAATGCGATGCTTTCAGTCCTTGTGCCCTGTGTTAATGTGGTAACTGAAAAATGTCACTAGTGTCTGTTTTTTATCAGATCTTATATACAGATTTTGAATTTCAAGTTTATAGTAAAAAAGATAAAATTTTCTTGCAAATCTGGAATCCTAGGTGAGAAGAAGAGATGAGTGGGAAGTACATTAAAATGCTATTAAGAAATAGCCACAGGAGCCTAAAACATATAATCAGTCTTCTAATTACACTAACAAGGATTTTTCTGGCTATTGTACAAGTATTTCTGGAGAGCAAGATATGTACTTTTGCCAGTTGAACATATGTAGGATTCCTGAGCTGTCGTAAATCAACGTGTATCCAACACATACTGAACATTTGTTTAATGTCCGTGTAGTAAATAATTCACAAATACAACCATCTTGGAAGTATAAATCTCCATATACAGAGTTTTCAGATCTAAGATCTCCATGTCCTCACTGTAGATTTTGCCACATACCGTAGCTGAAGGTTGCAGAATTCTTCCTTCTTTCCTGGTTTTAGGTGCTTTTAATTTTCTAAAATATTATTCCTTAAATATTCATATGAGCTTGTCCATGTTTGATATTTGTCCAAATATTGCAATTTGGTCTGGAAATCCTTATTTCTTCCTTTCTTCAGATCCTCAGACATTTTTCACCTCAGCAAAGAAAAGGCAGCTTATCTTTTTTGATCTAGCCACAGTTTTCACATCCAAGTCTCCAGTCTGATACAGATGATGTTTGAAACACGATCTGAGTGCAATCTTCATTAGCGATAGCTGCTTTTAAAAGCATGGAATGACAGATGACTGACAGTACTTACAATGCAGAGTCTGAGGAGGAAAATAGTTAAGACCAAATCCACCAAGGCCTGATCAGAACTTTTTTCAATAGAAATTAATATTTTTAAAATACTGATGTACAACGAGCATGTGCAATTTTAGTAGATCATATTGGTGGTCATTTTCTTTCTTCCATTTTTCTTTCTCATTCAGATGGAAAAGGCCAGATGTGGAGAAAAGCTAGCTTTCTCAAAAAAAAAAAAAAAAAAAA